GATTTCGCCAATTCAAGTCTAAATCAACTACGGACTTCCAAAATACATTCCGATCATGCTCCTAAGTCCCAAATCACCTAAAGAAGTTATTCGAATCATAAAAATTAAATTTCGAGATCCTTTACCCACAAGTCAACTTCCAGTTGACTTTTCCAACTAAAGCTTCCAAATAAGAGACTAAGTGTCTCATTCCACTCTAAGATCACTCCGAACACAACACAACCAATGTGATATGATAAAATACAGCTGAATGACACACAAGGAAGCAGAAATGGGGAAAATGGAGTGGTAACTCATCAAACGATCGGTCGAGTCGTAACAAAGAGGAACCTCGTCAACTTGGTCATCATCCCCGTCATCCCCCAATGGCACGTTTCCAAGAGGATCGTTGTTGTTGAGAGCCATTGTATCACCTATAGTTTTTTTACAAAAAGATTAGTAACTTGGAAGGAAAGGAAGATAAATCACACACAAAACCAAATATATAACTAAATCCATTTTTAGCTCCCCGTAAACGACGCCAAAATTGATGTCGCCCAAGTTCACACCTCAAATTGGGGTTGTGAAGCGGTCGATGCAATTATAATTACCCAACTAGGAGTCGGAATTGATTCCGCCGGGAGTGTAGATGGGATTAGTTGTATATATTTGGACTAAGCGCGTAAAGTGTCTAAGTAGCACTTACACAAACTTTGTTTTGATTCTACTTCTAAATTATGCTACGGTACACAAATATAAATTATGAAACTAGAGAATAATGTTTTTGTGGTTGTTTTTCAAATATGTAAAAGGTCTAGGGCTGTGACTTCTACCTAGGTGGTTACCTAACAGGTTGTGGGATTTAGAGAGGGTTTCGTTGGTCGGGGCGTAAAATAGCAATCAACACACAATTAGCCACACAATACCTCTCGGTAATAGAGTGGTTTTACCCAATTTGGCTTTCTCAAGTCCAAATAGGTAATTCACAAAACAGTTGATAGATACTCAAGTAGGGTTTTACTATCTCTATATTCAACCCTTTAATTGGGTCTATCAATTTCTTCAGTTCACCGTAATTTCTTGTTAGCCAAGTTTTCCTAAACTCAATCTCTCTTTCTCAAGTAAACGCTAAGTTAAATAGGCTTGAATCAATGTTTGCAACCATTAATTCTACAACTAAAGCATGAACTAGCGCAAATGTTACACACCCAACCATAAACAAGCCCTAAATCAAATACCCATTAGGTACCCACACTAGGGTTGAGTCACAACCCCAGCTAGAAATTTAGCTACTCATAGAAAAAATTAAGAAATTAAAGATAAGATGATAAATAAACTCATATTGCAAGATTAGAAGACCAAAATCTAATGTTTAATCACTAAAGTAAGCTAAAGTTAAACAAATAGGGAAAAATAGGATTGATGTTCAAAATTTAACCTAAATTTGAAAAAAAAACTATTTATACCCAGCTAAAATTATCATACAAAATTGCCCCTGCAGAGGTTCTGCGGCCGCACAATTCTTTGTGCAGTTCGCACTTTGAAGCTGGCTTGATAGGATGGACTTCTGCGACCGCACAATTCTAGGCTACGGCTGCACTTCTTCAGATTTCGCGGACCGCACATTTCTGAGTGCGGCCAAACAATAATAGTGCGTTCCGCACTTCTTCATGGACCTAGAATCACATCTCTCTAAACCTCATCTTCTGCGGTTCCGCACTTTGCATAGGAAATATGTCATAGGTTTCTTCATCGTCTGCGGCCGCACTCAATATTGTGCGGTCTGCATTTTGCTCTTTTTGCTTTGTTTTAGTCCTTGTCCAAAATTACTCTTTCGTGAGTTGATTTTCATCTCTTTGACTCATATTCCAACACTCCTGCAAGTAAGCACATTATATCAATTTTCGGCAATACCTTTAAGCAATTTTGAGCTAAAACGAAAGTAAAAGAGTGCAAATAAGTAATCGAAAACCCTAATTATAAAATAATGCAAATTGTGAGTCTCCTCAAGGATCAACTCTCTCAACACATCAACATATGGAACACAAATCCGGCCTTGAAGCCGCATAACCCCATCATCACCAATCACAACCTCCTTAGCACCTCCCTGTTGCACCGTATCCTCCAACACCAAAGCATGGATCATCAAACCGGCGAGCCTTGATACGCTCCAACAATGATGATTGTGCCTCAACACAAGTAAAACCCGACTAGGCTCCGAACCATCTAATCTCAAAAATCGATTGGCCAAGGCCTGAACAACCATAACTAGTGGCCTCTCCACTACCGATAAATATGCCAAATTACTCGTGCTCTCACCCTTCCTACTCAATGAATCATCCACTATATTGGCATTCCCCGGATGATACAATATGATGATATCATAGTCTTTAAAAAACTCTAACCATCACCATTGCTGCAAATTAAGATCTTTCTACTTGAACATGTGTTGGAGACTCCGATGGTCGGTATAGACCCCACATAGAATGCCGTAAAGATAGTGCCTCCAAATCTTCAGAGAGTGAACAATGGCTTCCAACTCTAAGTCATGCACATGGTAATTTTTCTCATGAACCATCAACTGTTGAGACGCATAGGCAATCACCCTATAATCTTGCATCAATACCGCTCTAAGCTTAATATGCGATGTATCATAATATACGGTGTAAGATCCCCAACCTGTAGGCAACACCAACACTGGGACAGTAGTCAAAGTAGTCTTGAGCTTCTGAAAGTTGAACTCACACTCACCGGACCATATGAAAAGAGCACCCTTCTGTGTCAACTTGGTCAATGGGGCCGAGATAGATGAAAACCGCTCCACGAACCGGTGATAATAATCCGCCAACCCCAAAAAGCTCTAAAACTCTATAGCTGAAGTAGATCTAGGTCAGTTCTGAACAACCTCAATCTTCTTAGGATCCACTTTAATATCCTTGGAAGATATAACATAGCCCAAAAAGGCAATCGAGTCCAACCAGAACTCACACTTTAAAAACTTGGCATATAACTGACGATTCCTCATAATCTGAAGTACGATCCATAGATGATGCTCATGCTCCTCTCGATTATGGGAGTAAACCAAATTATCATCAATGAAAATGATCACAAAAGAATCCAGATAGGGCTTGAACACCCGATTCATCAAATCCATAAAGGCTACTGGGGAATTAATCAAGCCAAACGACATCATCAAAAACTCGTAGTGATCATATCGAGTCCGAAAAGTTTTCTTAGGGACATCTGATGCCCTAATCTTCAACTGATAGTAGCCAGATCTCAAGTCAATCTTTGAAAATATGTTAGCACCCTAAAGCTTGTCAAATAAGTCATCAATCATAGGCAACATGTACTTGTTCTTGATAGTGACTTTGTTAAACTGCCGATAACCTATACACATCCTCATCGTTCCATCCTTCTTTTTCACAGACAACATTGGTGCACCCCAAGGCGGGACACTTGGTCTAATGAATCCATTATCAAGCAAATCATGCAACTGCTCCTTCAATTCATTCAAATCAACTACGGCCATACAGTAGGGTGGGGTAGAAATGGGATGAGTGCTCGAAATCAAGTCAATGCAGAAACTGATATCTCTGTCGGGTGGCATCCCCGGCAAGTCTGTAGGAAACACCGTTGAAAATTTGCACACAACTGGTGCTGAATTCATGGAAGGAACCTCTACACTAGGATCATGGATATAGGCCAAATATGCTAGGCACCCCTTCTCGACCATACGTCGAGCCTTCACATAAGAAATGACCCTACTAGTAGAATGACAAGGAGTTTCTCTCTATCCAATCGATGCAACCCCGTCATGGATAATATCATAGTCTTGGTGTGACAATCCAAAATAGTGTGATAGGGTAACAACCAATACATGCCTAAGGTCAAGTCAAAATTCACTATATCAAGTAATATAAGGTCTACACTAGTCTCATAGCTCCTGATAGTGACCAAAAAAGCACGATATACCTCGTCTACCATAGTAGAATCCCCAACAGGCATAGACATATAAATAGGAGCACTCAGATAATCATGAGACATATCCAAACGAAGCAAAATAGGATGACACATATGACTAAGTGGAACCCGGATCAAATAAAACTGATGCATCTCTATGGCTAACCAGAATAATACCTTTAATGACCGTATTCGAGGACTTTACCTCAGGTATAGCTGGGAATGCATAGAAATACGGCTGAGTCCCACCACTCTAACCTCCGCCTATCGGATGGCCTCTAACTGGCTGGCCTCCACCTCTAACGGCCTGACCACTACCTCTAGCTGCCTGACCCTCGCCTCTAGCTAGCTGAGTGGGTGGTAGAGCAATTGGTTCCAGAATTATGGCACGAGTATCCTACTGTGGTATGCTACTCCTCAATCTAGGACAGTATCTCCTGATATGACCTGCATTTTTGCACTCACAACCCTGCGTTTGGCCTAACTGCTGAGTCTAAGATGATCCCTAATGACCTGAATGACTACCATAGTAACCCTGTAGTAGTGGTGCACTAATAGAGGATGAAGGTGTGCTAAATATTGGCTTCTCAAGATGAGACCCATAAGAATCGCGACTGCCCAAAGCACCGTGTGCTACTTGAAGCGCTGACTAAATCGGCCTGTGAGGATGGCCTCTATGAAATGAACCCATGCCTCTAGATGGGGAACCACTAAAACCATCAAAATGATGAGGCTTCATCTCAGATGCCGACTCACTGCCCTGACCACGAACCCTCTCGATCCGTCTAGTAATCTCTATAACCCGGTTGAAAGAAATATCATCCTCAGTCTATCTAGCCATCTGCTACCTGATACTGAAAGTAAGACCATCTATAATCTCCTCACGCTCTCCCTCTCAAAAGGGATCAAGATAACTGCATAACAAGATAGGTCCATAAATCTGGTCTCATATTGGGTAGCAGTCATACTACCTGCTTTAGACGCTCAAACTAGTTGCGAAAGTCCTCTCTTAGAGTAAAAGGGATGAACTTCTCCTAGAATAGCTATAAGAACTGATCCTAGGTGAGTGGAGGTGAACCTGCTGGTCTGCCTCGAACATAATCTTGCCAATATCTCTTGGCATAATCAGTCATCTAAAATACTGTAAAGTCGACTCCATTAGACTCCACAATACCCATGTTGTGCAACACCTCATGGCAACAGTCTAAGTAATCTTGTGGGTACTCAGAAGGTGTACCTCCAAAACGAATAGGAAAAGCTTGGTGAACTTGTCCAACCTCTTCAACCCCTCTGACGAAATAGCGGGTCTTTCTTGGGGCTGTGTAGCAAATGACAGGCTGAACTGTCTAACTGTTGGAATCGTCGGAGTCCAATATATGGGATCTATCTGCTCTAGAGTGTAAGTAGCAAATGTTTGGGCTCCTTCCCCAGCCTGAGAGATTGCTGGTGCTAAAGGAAACACCGGCCTGGACCACACTCTATATAAGGCCAACTGAGCGGACTAGAGCATTATGTAGTATGGTAGTGTCTATGAACCCCTATGGGACCTGAGCTGGTCGAGCTTAGTTTGAACAGAGACCTCCTCCTACTACTCGATCTGAGGCTCTGCAATAGGTGCGGGCAAACTCTAGGCTGAGCTCCGACTCCTACACAGTTGTGGATATTTCTCATGTCCTCACCATCTGTTAGAGAACAAGAATACAATGGTTCAAACTTCAGTGATAGTATAAAGTCACACGATAGAGAAAGAAAGAAGTGACATTTCTTAAATCTCTATAGCCTCAAGAAGATAAGTACAAACGTCTCCATATCGATCCTCTAGACTCTACTAATCCTGCTCATGACTCATGAGACCTAGGAAACCTAGTGCTCTGATACCAACTTGTCACGACCCGAAATCCCAACCATGAAGTCGTGATAGCGCCTAACATCTACTTTCTAGGCAAGACAACGTTAGCTAATTATTTAACCAGTTTTATCAATTTATAACAGAATTATGATAATTAAAATTTGATCAACTCATAAATGAACGAAATATTTATATAAATTATGCAATGTGAATTTACTCCGAGTAATCCAGAGTCACAAGTACATGAGCAAATAAAATACTACAAATCTAGTCTAAAATAATGTACAACTGTCTGAAACTAGATAAAAAAAATAAAACATGATAGAAGGGGACTTCAAGGACTGCAAACGTTGAGCGGCTCTACCTCAAGTCTCCTGTAGCAGTTGGATCCGAATGGTCTCCGCTACGTGCCACTAGTACCAACACCGGGATCTACATAAGAAGTATAGAAGTGTAGGATAAAATGTAAGATCATGTAGGAAGCATATAACCAGAGATAACATGGAATATGTGAAGACATAAGGTAAATAGTCCAAACCTGCATTATTTAACCAATGACAGTGCATATACACTCGTCACCTTGCATATACGTCATTTCCCCATATAATTCACATAACAAATAAACCAATAAGTCCTTAATCCCTCAAGTAAAAGTTAGACATGACACTTACTTCCTTAAGCAACCACCTCAACAATCAACCACAACTTTTTCTTTCAGACAAGCCTCAAAACCAACTAAATCTAGCTAATATCATTTAAACAATTCAAAATAAGCTTTAGAAACTACCAACGAATGAAAAAGGTTCAATATTTGATGAAATTAAAAAAAGTCAACAAAAATTAACCTTGGGACCTCTTGGTCAAAATTCGAGATCCGGACCAAAATCCTATTACCCATTCATCCCGAACACGGTTATGTGATTTGTTTCAAAACCTGACCTTAATTTGAGGTCTAAATCATAATTTTATAACATCCCTAAATTCTACCAAAATTCCTAATTTCTACCATGAAATCCCTGGATTTGATGTTGAAACTTATGAAAAGTAATGGGGAATTGAAAGAAATTGAATTACAGTTGCTTACCAATGAATTTGGGAAGAAAAAGTTCTTCAAAAATCGCATCTAGAGTGTTTGGGGTTGAGAATAGTGTAAAATAAGATACATTTTGATTATTCCCTCTTTTACCCTCCTGCATGTATCACTTGTTCACAATTGCGACCATCACAAATGCAAAACACGCTTCACAAATGCGAACTGTGGTCCCGGCTTGCATAAGTTGCAAATATCAATAAAAATATTGCATTTGTGATGCCCCATTCCACCGCAAATGCGATCAAAGGTTTGCATTTGTGAACCTACCTAAGTCTTGCGCCCGATCGCAAATGCGACCAAGCCATCGCATAAGTGAATGTCCGCAAATGTGAACATTTCTTCGCAAATGTGAAGACTACCCTGCCCAGCCCCTCGTCGCAAATGCGAGCTCGACTTTGCAAAAGCAGAGTTCACAATTGCAAACAGGTCATCCCAAATGCGAGACCTGCAGATCAGCACCAGAAACTGAAGCACTCCAGTTATTCTAAAACCATCTGAAATCATCCGGCTCACACCCGAAACTCACCTGAGAGCCTCGGGCTCCAAATCAAATATGCATATAAATGTAATAACATCCTACAAACTTGCTCGCCACCTCAAATCATGAAAATAACATCAATAATATTGATCATCAAAACCCAAGAATTTTCAACTTGAAATGTATTCTCATAATTTTTCACATAACGCACCGAAATGCGCTCCGGTCACCTCGGACCCCAACCAAATATGTGTACAAGTCCAAAAATATTATACGAACCTACTGAAATCATCAAAATACTTATCCGAGGTCATCTACCAAGAATGTTGACCGTGATCAACTCAAGTCCCATTTTAAGCCTAAAATCACATTTTCTTCAAAAGTTTACGTAAAAACTTTTCAAAAAATGACACAGACCACGCATATAAATCAAGAAATATCAAATAAAGTTAAAAGAGGTATCGAAACACGAAAATAAAGGCTAGTACTCAAAATGACTTATCAGGTTGTCAAAGCTATGTATTCTAAATTCGGCGTTTCCTTCTCGTTCAGAGATTTGGTCGTTGAATTCTAAATTGAGTGTTCCTTAAAAGGAAAATTCCAGAAATCATTATTGACTATGAATAAAAGGTACGAAGAAAGTAAGTGAATGTTCATATACATGGATATTTACTGTTATATAGAGGGATATACATGGTTATACATGTATTGGGAAAAAACTGAGTTTATATTAAAGATGATGTGGCATGACACGTGGATTAGTTAAATGGTCAAAGCATAGCAATTGACTAAAGAGGCACGGATGGAGACAGCCACGGGAAGAAGAATTTAAATAGGCAAGAGACGACGTATAGATGTGAGTCTCGTACCACTTTAAATTATTTACAGCCAACGGATTAGAAGGCATTGAAGGCAAAGATCTGATGACAGAAAGGAGTCCAAATTCATTATTAAATACTTGATACGTTACAAAATTGGTATTTAATAAGAAGTATCATCATTTGTAAGGACAAGGAATACTATTGAGAATTTATTGAAATACACATCTATTTGCTTTTTTACCATCGTTCTCAAAAGTATTTTATTTTTGTCTTCTGATTATCAGTAACCCGAATTTCTTTTTAGGTTTGACCAAAGACTCAGATTTTTGGTTAAACAAATTGGTTCCGTTATCGAGAATCTGATAATCTTTCCTTTTAAGCTATATCTTATCTATTGTCGTCACCATGTCAAACAACAACGCCGACAACAATAGTAATAATACATTGGGAAACCATGAGAATCTAATACATCAAAATCAAGATAACGTGGTTCTCTCTCCTCTAAATTCACCACGTCAATCTCGTGAAGGCACTCCTGTTACTGAATCCCGTGCTGATCAACAAGAGCAATCT